CGCCCGGGCCGGCGCCCGGGCCGGGTCCGGAGCTGGTTCCGGCCGGCGCCGGAAAATCTAGTTCCGAGGCGGCGCCGGAAAAAAACAATTCCAATACACATTTTTCTTTTGAAAATGCTGAATTTCTGCTTCTGGCGCCCGGGAAGCCTCCCGGGCCGATTCCGGCGTGCTTCCGCTCGTTCCGAATCGTACTCCCGCTGCAGCGCTGGCCTCATTTCCGCGCTTCCGCTCGTTTCGACTCGTGCTCTCGCTGCAGCGTTGGCGTCATTTCCCGTGCCATGCCACGGCGTGCAATGCAATGCTAGGTTGATACTACGTTTCGCGGTGCTCTTCTACGCCATGCCACGCCATGCTCTACAATGCATCGCGTGCCCTTTCGGGATCATTGCCCTGCTCGACATCCGATTGTGCGAATAGAGAGGGGATCTGCGCCATGGTAAGGGATGGGAGGGAGGGGCAGGATGTCAGATGTGACGCGAGCGCACCTAGTTTGGCCCCCTCCCCCTCTGGCCCTGGGTCGAGGCCACAGCCCCCCTGGCTCCAGAGCAACAGCGCCCAGGCCCCGCAACCCATTATTTTTGTCGTGGTTCGTGGTGCGTCCCTGGCCCTGGCCCCCGCGCCAGCCCCGCCACCCCTCTGGCTCTGGGTCGAGACTTCACCCCCTCTTGCCATGGAGCCTTCGCCCCCTGACCCCGGAGCCCTTGATTTTCGTCGTGGTTCGTCGTGGGTCATCCCTGGCCCCCGCCCCAGCCTCCCTTCTTGCCCTGGGTCGAAGCCCCAGACCCATCGCCCCCTCCCTCTGGCTCGAGCCCTGGGTCGAGACCCCAGCCTTCCTGGCCCCGGAGCCGCAGCCACCCTGGCCCCGGAAGCGCCGTCTCCCCGGCACAACGACCCGAAACCCCACTCCTCCTCCTGCACCTCGTCCTCTTCCCACAATCAGTTTTTAAAATTTCCCCTTCCTGTCTTCCCTCCCCCTTTTTTCTTCCCCATCCCCCTTGCCCCAGAGAGGAAACCCCCGACCTGTCCAGACATATTGGGTCGTGTTTCAACTACATTTTCGGATGCGACGGAAGCCCAATTATTCGAATGAACATTTTGGGAGGAGGTCAAGACCTTGTCCCTAATACCCAGACTTCCTCGTCCTTGTGCTCCTCATCTGCCCTCGTCCTGCGCTTGCACGTTCAACGCGCTTCCTCAGCGTCCTACCCTCCTTTCATTATGTAGATGCCTGGGCTTTGAGCACTTTCGAAAAACCCGCCTCGGCCTCGCTGGCGAAATGCCTCCCCGCACCTGTCCCAAGCGGCCAGCCGCTCCTTTCCCCGAGCAGTGACCTCGCCGAGACCTCAGCGACAGTGGAGCACCGCCGCCGCGCTCCACGCCTGCAACAGCGCTTGCATCGTCTTCCTAGCTTGCAGGAAGTACAGGATCTGTCTCTACAACCACTGCGCATCTGCGCGGCAAAGCCAGGACAGAGCAAATGCACGCAGCTGCACCTGCTCGCGCCGCGCGTGCCCCGGCGCACCGCGCGGCAAAGCCTGCCCCCCGCGCTGCGGCAACCCTTGCGCGCGTCGTCACAGCTTTGGCGACTAGCGCGGCCGACAGGGCTGCCCTTCCCACAACGTTCGGCGCGCGCCCTTCACCCACCCGCGCAAGCGTTGCCGCGCACCACCGTGCCCACAATGCTGCAAGGCGTGCCGCAAGGCAGCGCCAGCGCGCGCCGCTTGCGCCCCGCGGCGCAACGCGGCCCGACGCAGAACCCGTGCCGCCACCGCCCCACAGCGCAACGCGGCCCGACGCAGAGCCCGCGCCGCCAGCGCCCCAGAGCGCAATACAGCCCGACGTGCGGCCTACGCCGAGGCAGCGCCAGCGCGCGCCGCCAGCGCCACTGGGGCACTTTGAGCGCGTCTTGGAAAGCCTCTTGGGCGTTTGTTGGGGCCCTCCCCCCCCAAACCTCCCCAGTCGGCCCTCTGGGAGTGCCCGCGCGGGCCTGTCGGCGCGTTTTGATATTTTTCGCCCCGCCACGTCGCGCCTCCGCCCTTCATGCCTGATTGTGCAAGAGCCACGGTGCGCGCGCCACTTGTTGTGGATCGTGGCCCCAAGGGCGCGACTGTAGGGCAATTTGCATGAGATCGTGGCCTCCGGGGCGCGAACATGTATATTTTTCGAAAAGATGGTGGCGTCGGGGATGCGCGCGTGGCGCAATTTGCAATGCGTCGTGACCTCGGGGATGCGAACACGGCGTACTTTACGATGGATGATTGCGTCGGAAGCGCGAATCTCATGCATTTGTGCGTGTCCCACGGCCCCTCAGGAATTCAGATAACGCGAGTCGGGGGTGGTAGCGTGTTTTTTTCGGCCCCACCTCGCGTGGGCTACAACAATTTACAGGAGGAAGCAGAAAGCAGGATTGTGACATTGGAATCCGGAATTTGGAATTGGAAGGGATCTAATTGGATATGCCAACAGGATCCCACCCCGAGCCCAAACAAGAGAGACATCGTTTATATGTTAGAATGAACGCTGTGGCATTCCAATATGATTGCCTTGGACCGTGCCAGGAACCCACATTGACTCCAATTCGGAGGAAATTCATTCACGTCCAGCAAGGCTTCGATTCTGATGATGACAGCACATACTTAGATGGGTGCGGATTCCATAAAACATTATATATAGCTATTGTGCACTATAGGATCTTATCAACATGCACAAAAAAAAAGAAAACTAGTAAAACATAATGAACATAGAGAAATCAATAGTGACAAATAATAATAAATAGTGAAACATAGTGAAAATAATGAAACAAATAGTGAATATGAACAAAATAACCAATTCTAAGAAAAATCACACACCAGCTTGCTTCTCTCCCTTTCTCTCCTGATCTTCCGCAGCGGCAGGCCGCTTTTACATTGCAAGTTGCACAGTGCAGCGGTTTGGTCGCTTCAGAACTTTCGTTTTTAATCGCGTCAATGTTGGCTGCGGGGCCGAGGGCGCCGCGCGTGGCACAGCGAGCATCCCAGGCAGCCATTTAACGAATTCTCGAATTCGGCTGGGCGATTTCAAAAAAAAAAAAAAAAAAAAAATGAAGCCAAAAACGGCTGCGACGAAATCGTTATCCTGTTCTCCCCCTCCTCCTCCTCCTCCTCCTCCTCCTCCTCCTCCTCCTCCTCCTCCTCCCCCTCCTCCTCCTCCTCCTCTCCCTCTCCCCGCGCAAAGCGGTTGGGCCGCTGAGGGCAGAATGGGGGGGCGGGAGGGAAGCGAACGCAAAGCGGTTGGCCCGCTCAGGGGGGAGGGGGAAACGGACGAGGGAGGTGGCGGAGGGCGGGGGGGGGGGGGGTAACCGCTTCAGAAGAGGATCTATATGTATATATGTGCATATATATAAGAAGACAACGCCATGCAACAAAAACACACAACACAAACCAATAACGCAAACACAATTCATAAAAAACATAAAACAACACAAAACAACAACACCACAACATGCGGTTTGTTGTTTTTTTGTTGTTTGTTGTTATGTCGTTTTTGCGCTGTCCAGCGTTGCCTGGCGCCCGCCCTGCAAGACAATGCAAAAACAACAAAAACAACATAGCAACGACAAACAAAACAACAACGACAACAAAAACAACATGAACACAACGCCCATACAACATCCAGCCAACATCCAGCCTGCTGCCAATGGAAGGGGGGGAGGGGGATGGGGGGGGGGGGGGGGGGGGGGGGGGGGGGGGGGGGGGGGGGGGGGGGGGAGCGGCAAGAGGATAGAGGAGGGGGGGGGGGGGGGGGGAGGAAGAGGGGAGAGGGAGGACGAGGGGGGGGAGGGGGGGGAGGAGGAGAAGGGGGAAGATGATAGAGGAGGAGGAGGTAGGGGGAGGAGAAAGAGGAGGGGGAGCAGGAGGAGGGGGAGGAGGAGGAGAAAGAGGATAGAGGAGGAGGGGTAGGAGGAGGAGAAGGGGGAGGAAGAGGAGGAGGAGGAAGAGGAATGGGAGGAGCTTCGGAGCTTCGGATTTGGGGGCGCCGAGGCCCAGGAGTGCCAGCACCAAGGGGGTGCCGAGGCCCCGAGAGGGGCGCCGAGAAGGAAGGGGGGGACAGAGGAGGAGGAGGAGGAGGAGGAGGAAGGGGGACGAGGAAGAGGAGGAGGAGGAGGAGGAGGAGGTGAACACCTCCTCCTCCCTCCTCCTTCTCTTTCTTCTCCCTTGGAGCACAACGTTCTGGCGTCGGTCAGACTTGTTTCAATGTCTGAATTCTGAAAAGTAAAGAGAAAGTAAAAAAATAGTGAAAAAATGAAAATGGTGAAAATAGTAATAAATAGTATTAAATATTGGAAAGAGTGAAGAATTAGTATAAAAAAGAATAAACAATAATGGAAACAAGCAGTAAAAACAGCGAAAACACACATAAGTTTAGGGATTCCAAGTGTTGCTGATGATAGGACACTGTAAGCTCTTATAGATCCTATAGTGAAACATAGGAGGGGCTATGGGGCACTATCACTATCGGCGTTCCTATAAAACTTGTAGGCCCCCTAACCAATCCTAATTCATCCAAACCTCTCCTAAAATAGAACCACTTACCTAACCTATAACTACTTATAAGGCCGCACCCATCTAAGTATAACCCCACAACCCCACCATATGTCAATCCCCGGCAAGATATGGTCCCAGACTGTAAGCTTTGCGTAGATACTTGAAGGACTCGCGTGAACATTATGATATCAAGAGTCTTTTCATGTTTTTGACATGCAAGTCGGGTGGATGCCGGGGATTGAGCCTTCTTGCTGGGGATTGAGCCTGCTGCTGGGGGCCGAACCGTTCTGCCAGGTCTGAACTCATCGGGGCGGGGGGGGGCAGGGGCAAACTCCTCCTCCTCCCAGTGCGCGTCTCGACCAGGATTCCGAGGCGAATCCGGCCGTGGCGACGAGGGGCCCTCACGAAACCCGCACACGCCTTCAAATGCACGCCGCCGCCGCCGGCCCGCCGCGCCCGTCGCCGTCCGCGGCCGAG